GAGGGGGAAAGGGGGGAGGAAAAGGAGGAGGAGGGGAAGGAGGAGGGGAGGAGGAGGAGAAGGAGGGGGAGGAGAAGGAGGGGGAGGAGAAGGGGGAGGAGGAAGGGGAGGGGAGAAGGGAGGAGGGGAGGGGAGGAGGAGGAGGAGGAGGAGGGGGAAAAGGAGGGAAAAGGGAGGAGGAGGAGAAGGAGGAGGGGGAGGAAGGGGGAGGGGGAAGGGAGGAGGAGGAGGAGAAGGAGGAGGAGGGAAGGGAGGAGGAGGAGAAGGAGGAGGAGGAGGGGAAAAGGGGGGAGGAGGAAAAAGGAGGAGGAGGAGAAGGAGGAGGAGGAGGGGAGGAGGAGGGGGGAAAAGGGGGAGGGGGAGGAGAAGGAGGAGGAGGGGAAGGAGGAGGAGGAAAAGGAGGAGGAGGGAAGGAGGGGAGGAGGAGGAGGAGGAGGAAAAAGGGGGAGGAGGGGGGAAGGAGGAGGAGGAGAAGGAGGAAAAGGGGAGGAGGAGGAGAAGGAGGAGGGGAAAGAAGGGGGGGGGGAAGGAAAAAGGGGGGAGGAGGGGGAAGGAGGAGAAGGAGGAGGAGGAGGAGGAGAAGGGGAGGAGAAGGGGGAGGAGGAGGGGGAAAGGGAAGGAGGAGGGAGGAGAAGGAGGGGGGGAAAAAGGAGGGGGAGGAGAAGGAGGAGGAGGGAAGGGAAGGGGAGGAGAAGGAGGGGAGGAGAAGGAGGAGGAGGAGAAGGGGAAAGGAGGGGGAAGGGGGGGAAGGAGGAGGAGGAAAAGGGGGTGGGGGGGGAAAAGGGAAAAGGGGGGGAGAAGGAGGAGGGGGAAAAGGGGAGGGGAGGAAAAAGGGGAGGAGGAAAAGGGAGGAGGAGGAGAAGGAGGAGGAGGGGGAAAGGGGGAGGAGGAGGGGAAGGGGGAGGAGGAGAAGGAGGAGGAGGAAAAGGAGGAGGGAGGAAAGGAGGGGAGGAAAAGGGAGGAGGAGGGGGAAAGGAAAGGGGGGGAGAAGGAGGAGGGAGGAGGAGAAGGAGGGGGGGAGAAGGGGAGGAGGAGGGGAGGGGGAAATGATTGTTTGTTTGTTTTTGTAAAAAAGTTTTTTTAAACAATATTTTGAAAATTTATGTTTGTGTGTTTTATTGTGTTGTATAAAAGGGAGTGTATATATGTACATTGACATTCCCTTTGGTCTCATAGGCCACATAAATTTTTGTGAAAAAAAAAAAATAGTGAAAAAAAAAAAAAACCTTCAAAAATTTCAAGTAAACTAAAGTTTACCCGGGTGAGCGGCAGTCGCCGCTGTTGCATACAACCCCTCATTTTTTGAAAAATTTACGGGCTCATATCTCCGGGAAGTACCAATGGCAAAAAATTTTTTTTTTGGGGCCCAAAAAAACAGAAAAATAATTTAACATTTTCATAAAAAAAAATTATTTTTTTTTTTTGAAAAATTTGGCGGACATTGAATGGGCAGTTTTCAGAAGGGGCCCCGAAAAAAAGTCCAAAAGGGGTTTTTTTTGTCAAAAGCGGTGGCATTAGACGTGTAAATACGATCGAAACAGTTTTTAAAAAAAAAATTAAAGTGACAAAAAAAATACACAAACCCCATTTTGTTTTTTTTCTTTTTGGGGCACATGGTTCTTTTCTCAAAAAAAAAAAATAGCCTTTGCTTGCCCCTTAAACTACCCGGTTCACTGGCACCCCGAGAAAAAAATGGGTGATGCAAATTTCTTTTGTGGCTTAAAAACGCTGTAACCTCCCCCTCTTCTTGGCTAGTGAATGGTTTTTGATGAAAAAAAATTCCAAGAGGCCCTCTCTCACCCGCCAAAACATTTGCTTCCCGGACTGTATAGTTCTCAAAAATAATTTGAAAAAGTCAGCAGGGGAAAATTTCCATAACCCTGATCAGCTAATGAAATTCCCCCATACTAAAGTTTATTTGCCAAAATTGAATTTTATCTTTCGCAAAATTTTTAAATGTGGAGATCCCTGCTCGCAAACTTTCTCCAAAGGTTGTGAATTAAAAAAAAAAAAAAAAGTTATTTTTTTTAAGAAAAGGGTAGGAATCCTTTTTTCCCAAAAGGTTTAAAGAAACCAAAAGGGACCCAAATTGATGGAAAAAAATTATGGAATTTTGCTTCATGAAGTTTGCAGTCTCAGTGATATTTTCGCACGGTGATTTTTGCCCCCCCTTTGAGGCCCTATTTCGGGGCCCAAATTTTTATTGTTCCCAAACAAAAACCCCAAAATTTATAGCTGTTTAGGTAGAAAAATCCAATTTTTTTTTTCTTTCAATTGATTTGCCCATTTCAACTACTTAATAAAGTGATCCCCTAACTTATTAACCCCTTAGGGTCCAAAGGGCCCAAAAACTGGAAAATGGTGTTTCCGTGGGTTTAAAAAAATTTTAAAAAAAAAAAAAAAAAAAAAAAAAAAAAAAAAAATTTTAATAGAATTAAAGGGTATATTTTTTTGAAGGTAATAAGACAAAAAAAAAAAAATTTTTAAACAGTACTTATCCGAGATTTCACGGGGGGGGAAGTTGACCCAAAAAGACACCGGGGGTGGCGGCAACGTTTAGTGAATTTTCCCCAAAATCCCATTTTTTTATTTAACGTTTTTATACTTTTTTTTTTTCTTTTCTAATTTTTTTTTTTTTTCTAGTAACTTTGTGGCCTGTGAGACCAATATAATGTATTTTTGTATAATGTAAAACTCCTTTATTTAAAAAAAATAAATGCACTAATTTGTTTTTTTTTTTTAATTGCTTACAAAAATTGTTTACAAAGTTTTTTGTAAACAAAATGATGAAAAAAATTTTTGAGGTTTTTGTGTTGAATACAAAGGTTTCCCCTATAGTACCATATGGTACAATGGGGGCCATAGGGTGCAAAGGTACCTAGGTACAATTTGGGCCCTAAAACAATTGGTTTCATATGATACAATGGCCCCCAAAATGGCACAAAGGCACCCCTTTTTGGGGGGAAAAATGATACCCCTATTTATTTCAATTTTTACCCTAAGGTGCAATGGACTTATGGTACCATTGGCTGTAAAAAGGGACCATATGATTCAATTTGGGCCATATGGTACCTTTTTTTTAAAACAAATTTCAAAAATTTAAATAAATTTTGATTCATTGTACCCTATGGTTGTTTTTGGGTTTAACACAATAAAAACCCTTAATTTTTCATTTTTATCTTGTTTACATTAGTTGGTTACAACCCAAAAAAATGCAAAAAGTTGTATATTAGTTTTAAAGTTTTTTATATATTTAATGTGTACAGGAAATTGACGTGTTCCTTGGGGGTGGATGACAAAACACTTTGCCAGAAAAATGCGGAGTCAGTAGCTGCTTGGGTGCCCCTCACTCACTCTTAGCTGGTTTTCTATCCCCCCAACAACCCATTGACCCTATGGTACACGGTATATTTGTTAAGGGGGACCCTTGGTACATTGTACATTTGGTATAAGGGGGACCCTGCAGTAAAAGGTTTAAAATATGGGGCAGGGTTAACCATATGGCACAGGGTACCATATGGCACAGGGTACCATATGGTACAGGGTACCATATGGTACAGGGTACCATATGGTACAGGTTACCATACAGTACAGGACACCATATGGTACAGATACAGGGATAACTATGGAAATATTTCACCCTGACTATTTTGGGTTATCCTAGGATTTTATACGTATGCTGCTGTGTATGATAATCTATGTAATTGTATTTCTGTACACCTGAATAAACTTACTCAAGTGCATGTGGCATCATAAGTAAGTTTATTTAGGTATACACAAATAAAGTTACATAGAACATCATACTAAAGTCGGTACCTGACCAGCCGGGCTGTGGCTCGTACGTTGGTTTGCGTGCAGCCAGCAGTAACAGCCTGGTTGATCAGGCTCTGATCCACCAGGAGGCCTGGTCACAGACCGGGCTGCGGGGGCGTTGACCCCCGGAACTTTCTCCAGGTAAACTCCAGGTAATTATGTTTGGAGAACCTAGGATAACCCAAAAAAGTCAGACAGACTTATTTCCATTAGGGTCCCTGTACCCTGTACCATATGGTATAATGTACCATATGGTACAATGTACTATATGGTACATTGTACCATATGGTACCATTGTACCATATGATACCATTGCACCATATGATACCACTGTATGACATGGCCCCATTGTACCATATGGCACAATGGTACCATATGGTTCAAAACCAAAGAATTCATCTTCAGCTCCACTTCCATCAGTCTTAGAACTGTAAGTTGTGAAGAGGAGAGTCAGAATTCGCCCGGAGAGTGAGTGGGGAGTGAGAGCTTCCTTGTCGCCAGGCACGATGAACAAAGCTACTTTGCCGGCGTTCCCACAATGCCATGCGGGCGTCCAGATTTTTTCTATAGTGTGCACACTGACCACCCAGACCCATTCTCTTAGTTGTAGGCTTACCAGCCTTCTTGCACTAAATTTGACGCCACTAGAATTTTGGCGTAGATCTACGGTTTGGACCCTGAACGTAAAGCCGTAGATCTACGGGACGGACCCTGAAAGGGTTAATTTGGACAGTTTCACACAAAATTCAAAAAAAGCCAATTTCAAAACAGGGTCCAGAGTAAATAATGTAGACAATCCTGGCATTAAAATAACATTTTTCTCTGTTCATCATTCACGTCTCCAGGCCCCTCTTATAATATGCTTGCTTTTCATTTTGAATTTTTATTCAAAAATTTTTACTACAAACTCTAATCATACAATAGAGCCAAAAAATAACATGAGGGACCTGAGAGTAGTAATGTCTGAGCATCTCACTTTCAAGGATCACAACAGTGCCACAATCACATCTGCGAAGAAAATGATAGGATGGTTAAGAGAAACACAGCAGTATGGACTGGGAACTTACCTGGTTAAGAGAAGCAAGGAAGTATGGGCTGGAAAGATGCCTGGTTAAGAGAAGCAAGGCAGTCTGGACTGGGAACTTACCTGGTTAAGAGAAACATGGCAGTATGGACTGGGAACTTACCTGGTTAAGAGAAACAAGGCAGTATGGGCTGGGAAACTATCTTAGAAGGTAATCTGGTGGCCTGCATAATAGTGAGATGCAGAGATTTCATAAATTTAAGTGATTGTAACTTAGGTGCTCCCACCATCTGTGGAACACACAGTGGTCGCAGCACAGCCATCCAGTCGTTGGTCATTTCCTGAAATAATACCGAAGTTATAATCTCCCTCACATATTGGTAAGAAAAGCGAGACAATGCTTTGAAAGATGTTCAAAATGAACAAAATGAAAACACTGCATTAAAGGTGCAGACACAATATATCAAGAAATATCAAAGACTAAAGACAACTTTATGAAAACTAATGACACAGGTAGAAACTTGTGGTGTAAAATAAGGAAGAATGTGAACATATTGTTAGAGAAATAACATAAGAGAGAAATGAATTGGTTAATCAGTCCCTCAGTCTTGCAGAAATATACACAGAAGACAGTGGAAGATAAGGCAAACTACTTTGTTTTTTCAGGTAACTTATGTGGCCTGTGAGACCAAAGTAAGGTGATATGTACAGTTCAATGATGGTTTTCTTAAATTCAATCGTATTTCTCAACTTTTTTACCACAGGCTTGGCACTAGGAGCTTTCTTTGGAGCCATGGTAGCTTATTTAGTACTTGCAAGCACTAAAATAAATGAAATATTATGAAATATTTTGCTGCAGCACGTGAGGGGACCATCGCTCACTGGTAAACAATGCTAGACTGGCTGCCGCCCTGGCTCACGCCGTGCGTACGCGTCCCGGACGAACTACGACTCGCGAGTCAACCTATGAAAAGCGAGTCCATGTTTATACGAAAATACCCCTATCATTGGCGAATTTTACGATTGCCGGGAACTACGAAAAGCGGGAGACCACTATACAGTGGACCCCCACATACCGTTGGCATCACATAACGTTAAATCCGCATACCGCTACATTTTATCGCCAAGATTTTGCCTCGCATACTGCTAAAAAACCCGCTCAACGCTGTTTGTCCGAGACGCGTCTAATGTGCGCCCTTAGCCAGCCTCACATGTTCCGCCGGTGGCATTGTTTACCAGCCAGCCTCCGCGGTAACATCCAAGCATACAATCGGAACATTTCGTATTATTACAGTGTTTCTGGTGAATTTATCTGCAAAATAAGTGACCATGGGCCCCAAGAAAGCTTCTAGTGCCAACCCTACAGCAATAAGGGTGAGAATTACTATAGAGATGAAGAAAGAGATCATTGATAAGTATGAAAGTGGAGTGCATGTCTCCGAGCTGGCCAGGTTGTATAGTAAACCCCAATCAACCATCGCTACTATTGTGGGCAACAAAAAGGCAATCAAGGAAGCTGTTCTTGCCAAAGGTTTAACTGTGTTTTCGAAACAGAGATCGCAAGTGATGGAAGATGTTGAGAGACTGTTATTGGTGTTGATAAATGAGGAACAGATAGCAGGAGATAGCATCTCTCAAGTGATCATAAGTGAAAAGGCTAGGAAGTTGCATGAGGATTTAATTAAAAAAATGCCTGCAACTAGTGATGATGTGAGTGAATTTAAGGCCAGCAAAGGTTGGTTTGAGAGATTTAAGAGGCGTAGCGGCATTCATAGTGTGATAAGGCATGGTGAGGCTGCCAGTTCGGACCACAAAGCAGCTGAAAAATATGTGCAGGAATTCAAGGAGTACATAGAAACTGAAGGACTGAAACCTGAACAAGTGTTTAATTGTGATGAAACAGGCCTGTTTTGGAGAGAAAATGCCAAGCAAGGACCTACATTACTCAGGAGGAAAAGGCACTCCCAGGGCATAAGCCTATGAAAGACAGGCTTACTCTGTTGATGTGTTCCAATGCTACTGGTGATTGCAAAGTGAAGCCTTTATTAGTGTATAACTCTGAAACTCCCAGACCGTTCAGGCAAAAGAATGTCCTCAAGGAAAATTTTGTGTTGTGTGCTGTGGAGGGCAAACAGTAAGGCATGGGTCACTAGGGACTTTTTCTATGACTGGTTACACCATGCACTTGCCCCCAATGTGAAAGATTACCTAACTGAAAAGAAATTAGAACTTAAGTGCCTCCTGGTGTTAGACAATGCCCCTGGTCATCCTACAGACGTGGCAGAGCGAACTTTATGGGGACATGAAATTCATTAAGGTGAAGTTTTTGCCTCCTAATACCACTCCTCTCCTGCAGCCCATGGACCAGCAGGTTATTGCAAACTTCAAAAAACTGTACACAAAAGCTCTGTTTGAAAGGTGCTTTGTAGTGACCTCAGAAACTCACTGACTCTAAGAGATCTTTTGGAGAGATCACTTTAATATCCTCAATTGTGTAAACCTTATAGGTAAGGCTTGGGAGGGAGTGACTAAGAGGACCTTGAACTCTGCTTGGAAGAAACTGTGGCCAGAATGTGTAGACCAAAGGGATTTTGAAGGGTTTCAGGCTAACCCTGAGAATCCTATGCCAGTTGAGGAATCCAATATGGCATTGGGAAAGTCCTTGGGGTTGGAGGTTAGTGGGGATGATGTGGAAGAGTTGGTGGAGGAGGACAATGAAGAACTAACCACTGATGAGCTGATAGATCAACTTCAAACAGCAAGAGGCCAGACCTGAAGGAAACTGGTTCGAAGGAGGGGAGAAGAGAGAAATTGAAGAAATTGCCTACTACAAAGATTAAGGAAATCTGTGCAAAGTGGCTTGAAGTGCAAACCTTCATGGATGAAAATCACCCTCACACAGCTATTGCAAGCCGTGCTGGTGACTATTACACTGACAATGTTGTGAAACACTTTAGGGAAGTTATAAAGGAACGAGAGGTACAGGCCACTATGGACAGATATGTTGTGCGACAGAACTCCAGTGACTCTGAAGCTGGTCCTAGTGGCATTAAAAGAAGAAGGGAAGTAACCCCAGAAAAGGACTTGACACCTCAAGTCTTAATGGAAGGGGATTCCCCTTCTAAACACTAACACACTCTCCTCCTCCCATCCCATCAATCATCACCAGATCTTCAATAAAAGTAAGTGTCATGTAATTGTGCATGCCTTTTTCAGTTTGTGTGTATTAAAATTAATATTTCATGCGGTAAAATTTTTTTTTTTTCATACTTTGGGGTGTCTTGCACGGATTAATTTGATTTCCATTATTTCTTATGGGGAAAATTCATTCGCATAACGATAATTTCGCATAACAATGAGCTCTCTTGCACGGATTAATATCGCTATGCGGGGGTCCACTGTATATGCTTGTACATGTATGTGTAGTGTGACCTAAGTGTAAGCAGAAGTTGCAAGACATACTTGAAATCTTGCATGTTCATGAGACAGGAAAAAGACACCAGCAATCCTACCATCATGTAAAACAATTACAGGTTTCTATTGCAGACTCACTTGGTAGGACGGAAGTACTTCCTTGCGTGGCTGCTGTCTACCAACCTACTTTGTGTGTACCTGTACCTACATAAACCAACTGTACCACCATTCAGGTACAATGAAATCACTACTTGTCATTTACAAAGCAGGAGAAGCTATGCCAGGCAAGGGAGTAGCTAAGAGTGTCTCACTAGTGTTGAAGACACAGTAACATAAGAATGTCTCTCTGAGCTCTTTAAATGTTGTGTATTATGCTAGCAGAGACATTTTCATTAATGTATCTATCTATGGCATGTTTTCCAAAGTTATATAAGAAACACACTATATATCATAGAAACATAATACAATCATACTAGAACAAATTGATATAACTGTGAGGTGTGGTAGCAGGGCGGGTGTATAGAAGAATATGATAATAATTACAATATGATGTTCTCTCTAAGCTACTACCACCAGAGAAACTGTGTATATTACTGCAGATAACTGTAGAAAACACACCATTCATATGCCTTTAATCATAAATAGCATCACTTGCTCTCAAAAGGGTATATTGCCATGAGCAAGGTGTGATGCTATGAGCCAAGGTGTGATGCTGTGAGCCAGGGTGCGTTGCTGTGAGCCAAAATGTGTTGCTGTTATGCAGGCTACTGCATTAATGTAAAGATAATTTGTTTAATGTCATTAGTCAGAGGCAGTTACAGTGAAAAGCTGCTCCACAAAGTACAGTACTCGCTCCCATCTTTTTCCTCGTCCTCATATCTGACACAGACAGAGATGTAAGCCACAGCATGGTATCCTCCTATGCTGATGATACAAGAATTTGCATGACAATGTCATCAATGGAGGACACAGAAAATTTCCAAGCAGACATTAACCAAGTCTTTAAATGGGCATCATAAAACATTATGAATTTCAACGAACAAAAATTTCAATTACTCCACAATGGAAAACTCGAAGAAATAAAACCTGAATCAGAGTATAAAGCAAATTCCAACCACACATAGTGAAAAAGTAATGTGAAAGACCTGGGAGCAATAATGTCAGAGAATCTCACTTTCAAAGACCAAAACAATATCTCTAACACGTCTGCTAAGAAAATGATAGGATGGATAATAAGAACCTTCAAAACAATTGGTGCAAAGCTAATGACAATTGTTTTAAAATCACCTGTTCTCTCTGGGTTGGAGTACTTCTGTACACTGATGGCCCCTTTCAAGGCAGGCAAAACTGCAAACCTGGAGAATATGCAGAGAACTTTCACTGCACGTATAAGTACGATTAAGCACCTAAATTACTGGGAATGGTTGAGGCCCCTTGTCCTATACTTCTTGGAATGCAGATTAAAAAGTTACATGATGATATACACTTGGAAAATCACAGAGGAACGAGTTTCAAATCTCCACATGGAAATCACCCCTTCAAAAATTTGATGTACATAAAAATGCCTAAAATATGGAATTCCCTGCTTGAAAACTCTAGAATCCCAAACTCAACCACCATTTTCAAAACTACCATTAAAAAACATCTTATCTCCCTGTATCATGCCGAGCCAAAACCATTCCTATCACTAAATTTACTAATTATCATATTGTTATATGTTTTGTACTACCTCACTATTATAAATCTATTTAATCCCTACAGTTACCTAACTTTTATATCAGTATACCCTATAACCTGTGTCAATATAGAGTAAGAATTAGGATTAGGCTGCCCGAAATGCCTAGGCATGCTAGTGGCCTTCATTGTAATTAATATTTTATAATGTGTAATGTAAAGATAGGTGCTGGGAGGCCGGAAGCAGTGGAGA